AGAGAGAGAGAGAGAGAGAAAGAGAGAGAGAAAGAGAGAGAGAACGAGATTGGGTGCTTGTGTGTGTGTGTGTGTGTGTGTGTGTGTGTGCGTGTGCGTGTGCTCGTACGTGTACAGAATGTATTATTAAACTTATATTACATACATATGTACATAATATATAAACTTCTGAGTTATATTCTTTTGATCGTCGGGAACTAGGTAAGAGAAAAGTTCGTTCAGTATGTGGAAATGAGTTTTTTGTTGGGTTTTTTTTTTTTAAGTTGTTGTTGTGTTCCCCATCGTGAAAGAATTATAATGAGTTCAAGCTGACAGATTCAATTAACTGAGATGCACCGGCCTATTTTTTATCCATGTGTTCCGTTTCGCTTCCAGTGAGAAGACAGTTCTTTGTTGTAGCAAACGCATCTCGGAAGCCAACGAAGACAAAACGTGGGGGTAAGGAAAAGGGTGGGTGGGTGGGGTTATGATAAGAAGGAGAGACCCCCTTTGAACATACTCCCCAGAGAAAAGGAATTGTGTCAACAATCCCATGCCTGAATGTTTAGTTTAGTTTTAAAGAGAGTTTTACGGCACTTGCAACACAATAAGGTCACATAAGTGACGAGGAATGGATGCGTTACAAGAAAGTAACATACACAAAAAAGGAGGAGAGACATGGACGATAGATGTTTGATAGGAAAGAAGGAGCAAATCACATCAAAGCACCCGCCAACCACCCACTTGCCTGAATGTGTCATGACGTATGATAAAAAAAGAAAGTCAGCTAACATTTAATTTTTTTTAAAAGATGAAGAAAAAAAACTAAACAAAAACAAAGAAGCTACTAAACCGACTCGTGTGGAGGAAGAAGAAGCAACGGCAAAGACGTGAAACAGTAGGTACAATTGGAGAGTGGGGGGGGGGTAGGGTTAGAGGAAGGAGGGGGGAAGGGAGGGTGGAGAGGAAGAGAAAGAAAGAAAGAAGAAAAAGGGAGGACCTTTAGCAGAGGAAGTGCCAGTAGGACCAGTACCGCATAGTACTGTAGCGTGTTCCCCTCCTTCCTTCCAGGCCCCTGACACTCCACTATCGGGGGGCTGTGCAAACAACAATAACCGATCCACAAATAGCACTGGCCAATCGCCGGGCTGGAAACGGGGCAGCGAAATCCAAGCCTGTGATTCCCCCTTCCCGTAAATAGGCCCGGCTAAAACAAACAATCAGACAAGGAAGGCGGCTGCCGAGTGCCCAAACAGGCTGCCTTCTCTCTCTCTCTCTCTCTCTCTCGCTCCACGACAAAGGAAAGAGGGAGACATAGGGGGGAGAAGGGGAGGGTGGTGGTTGGGGTGGGGTGCAACTTGAGTTGGTGTAGTTTGGGGAGAACAAAAAAAAAGACAGTTGGGGGGAGGGAGGGTCGGTTCTGTGGGGTGTCGGGTATGTGTGCAAGCGTGTGTGTCAGTCCGTCAATGCGCGCGCGCGCGTGCGTGTATTTGTATGCCAGTCACACTGCATGAGTATCCATGTACACTTTGTGATGAAAGAAACAAAAAAGAAAAATAAAAAAAAAAACAACAACAACAAAAAACTAGCACTTGGG